ACTAGTGTCATTTCAAGTTCAGTGCCCCAGGCTGCCTAGCTGGATCCGGGGTTCCTGCTACAGAGCCACCCCCTCCCGGAAAGTCAGCCAGGCCCCTAGGCAGCCGTTCAAATAGACCTTTGGAGGCAGGAAGCTGCAAGCATATTGATTTTGAGGAAAGGGGGCTGTAGGAACAATCTGCCCCCCCCTAGCAGGCCTACAAGGGGCAGGATGGGGCTGGATGCTGTTCCCATTGGAGACTGTTGGTTCGAGCTCCAATGTGCTGCCCCAGCCCCACTTTAAGGATTCAAGCCAACTCGCCAGGTAGCTGCAGTTTATCCCTTGGGGGTGGCCTTTCAGCTGCTCCTGCCCTCTGGCTAGCAGCAGAAGCTTAGCTTTCCATGGCGCCTTTCGCCCTGCGCCTGCAAGATCCCTTGCTGCTCAACCAATGAGATCGGCATGAATTCCTTCACCGCCCCTGAAATGCAGCCACCTCTGGGTGGAACGTGGCAGCTGTTTGACAGCACACAGCAATGCCCCAGGGAGGAAAGAGGAACGAGGCCAGCAGGAAACTCAGCCAGCGGGAGATCCACTGTGGAAAGCACTTTGGGTGCTGCATGACCCCGAAGCGGGAGCCCCTTCGCAGGTATCTCTGACAGACAGCACAGTGCCCCCTACTGCTGTGCTAGGACGCGACAAAGGGAAGAGCACCACCTACTGGCTCACATAACACCACTTCCTGCAGCATCGCTGTGTTCCATGCCTGTCTCCCAGCTAAGGCTAATCCAGCCCAGCTCTGCTTCGCTAGCAATACAACCAGCTGTGGCCGGCCTGTAGCTGAGATGAGATCCTCACCACACTGCTCCCTTCTCCCCACTCCAGATCCAAGCACGTCCTCCTGAGTGCCTTGCCAAGCACGGAGCCCTCCTCTGACCCGGGGGCTGTCTCCTTAGGTCCCCATCACATGCAGCTGTGTCGAGGGGCAGTGTTGCCTGGCTGATCTCCGGGAAGAGGGTCCCTTGGTCCAATGACGTGTTGCCTCACCTGTCACCTGTCCGTTGTGCTCCTTCAGCTCATGGGCCTTGTTCCACTTTCCCCCCGCTTTATTGTAGATATGCACCTCGTGGTTGTTTGGGCAGATGGCAAACTCTGTGGAACAGTAATAGCGGTTAAGTGACCAGCCATTAGGGGGTGAGGGGGTGCGTGTCAAGTACTGCAGCTGGGGTCCAAGGAAGAGCCGGACCATGTGACGCCTATGAATGCAGCATGTGGCTACTCAGGCGAAGCTCACGGTGCGAAAAGCCATTCTCATGTTTCAGGGTGTTCGCTTTTGGCCAGCAAGGGTCAGGCAGGACAGCCTCTAACCTGGCTAGTGCTATGGAGAGCCGATGGAGCAGCCATACACTTAAAAGAGGCCCCGAGCCTTTCTCTTCCAACCTTCCATGGCTGGTGCCTTCTCTGTTGCTGTCCATCCTGTGACCCTGTGTCTGGAGCCAGATCCCAGCTTGACACTGATGTCGCTGTTATGGGGAACATGGGGCGTGGCCGTGTGTGTGGCAGAGAGAGGGCCTAGGAGACAAACGTCACACATGCTGGTGATGAAGCTGGCATTAGCAAGTGGTGGGCAGGGGCCTCTACGCAGGTAGGAGGGGGGTGACAAAAGGGACACGAAGGGGAGACAGTGCTAGATCCAAACATCGCTGACGGGGTGGGGAATCTCTTTTGGGGTGGGGTGCCCCTGATTCATAGAAAAATCAATCGGGGGCAGCACAAAAGCAAGATGCAAAAAAACCCCAAAAAACACAACCACCTCACTGACGTGGCCCCCGCCTGAGAAGCAGCAAGATGCCCCCACAGCCCCCTTGCACACCAGAGCCTAGAGGGGCCCACTCTAGTAGATTCTGTGGGGCCTCCTAGGCTCTGGGGTGGAGCAAAAATTTAGGGGAGGGGCTGCCAAAAAGCAGACTTGGGGTGGGAGGGCTGTATGGGAGGTAGGGTGCAGGAGCAGGCTGGGGTTGGGAATCTGCACGAGAAGTGGGGTGCTGGAGCTCCAGCCCTGCGGTCCGGTCCATGGGGGAGGGGGAAGGGAGACAACGCAGGGCTGGAGCACCAGCGCTGGCTCCCCAGTACTTGAGGGGAGCCCTGAGCCTCAGGAGCTGAATCCAGGCAAGCTGGGGCTCTTGGACCAATAGGTTCCCCAGCCCTGAAGGGTCTTAGCCCTTGTGCCAGCTGGTTGCTCAGGCCCTCACATTAGCGGAGACCTAGCGCCGGAGGGGAGCAGCTGGATGCGAATTGTCCAGCTGAGCGCCTCAGCCAGACCGTCCATGCCACACGCTGCAGCCCCAGGCATTGATTTCTCCACTCAGAGTTAAACTGGCAAGGGGGAGGAAGGCTCCGCCCACCACCAGACTAGGCTCCGCCCACCTCTCCTGAAGGCCAGCCGTTCTGCTGGGAGGGACCCTATGGAATGCCAGCTGTCAAGGCGTGGCGCTGCCTGTGCCCGGCCCATCCTGCCTACAGCCAGCCGCATGGCTCCTTTCCCCTGGCCCCTACAGAAAGCGCTGTTTGTTCTGACCTGCTCACTGCAGCCCTTTGAAACTGCCCGCCCGGGGGCTCCACAGCTGGGGAGGAGATGGCGTCACTCACCATCAACCGCCCGGGGGCTCTGCGGGCAGGCCACAAAGGCAGCTCAGTTTATCTTGAAATGTCTTGAACTGAGCTGTTACTCCCCATACCCGTCTGTTCCCTTCAACCTCGATTCTGCCCTTTGCTGCCCCCTGGGCGTGGGGTCCCCCAGACCACAGCGCATGGGGTGCTCCTGGTCCCAGGATCGCCCCTCTGAGCCTGCTGCACTGGACTCCTAGCAAGGAGACATGGGGAAAGTGAGGCATGGGAGCTGCCCCGGCTGTGGTACCCCAGTGCGCCTGGGGCTTATCCTGCCATATGAACTGCTTCAGAGCCGGGACATGAGCAAATGCCAGAATCCCATTGCCCCCAGACTTACTGGATGTTTGGAACTGGGATCTGGACCTTGCAAAGGGCCCCAGATTTGAAATCCTCCCTGCAGAATCTGAGGCCCTCAGAACCTGGAGAGACCATTGTGTCTCGGGCCCAGGTCACCTTTAGAGCAATGATGAATGAGTAGGTATAAGCCCCCCATAGGGGTCTCCCAGTCTTGAGAGCCAGCCATGAAGGGACGCCAGTGGGGCCAGCTCTGCATACTCTGTGCTCTGAGGATGGGGCTGAGTCCTGGGACCTTTATCAGGGCAGCATGGTCCATGCGCCAGTGCTGCTAAGTCAGTCACACCCGCGTAGCCTGGTTTCCCCCATGGCGCTGGTGTGCATGCAGGAGAAGGGCTCTGCATACTTACGGGTTCGGTCCTTGTTCCAGGCATGGCAGCTGATTGGTTCAAGCAGGAAGCTGTGATAGGCCATGGCTTTTCAGCTGGAACGAAAGAGAAAAAACACTGATGTTATCACCCGGTAGAAAGACGACCCTCGTCAGCTGTATTTAAAGGACCTGCCCACCCAAGGGAGCCAGCTACTGTCAGGGTGGGCAGCAGGATCTGCTCGTTGGTCACCCTGGCCTGACTCAGCAGATTCATGCTGAGTCTCACACTGGTGTGCAATGACAACTGAAACCGAAGGCCAGTTGGCATGAACCTGCGTAGAACCATAGAACTGTAAGGCTGGCAGCACTGGCGTAGCGAGGGGAGAGCGGAGGGGGGGGGAGGGAGCCAGCTACTGTCAGGGTGGGCAGCAGGATCTGCTCGTTGGTCACCCTGGCCTGACTCAGCAGATTCATGCTGAGTCTCACACTGGTGTGCAATGACAACTGAAACCGAAGGCCAGTTGGCATGAACCTGCGTAGAACCATAGAACTGTAAGGCTGGCAGCACTGGCGTAGCGAGGGGAGAGCGGAGGGGGGGGGATTTTCCC